GCCCACCTCTTAAAACTAAATATTATTAAATATTAAAAAAAACTGTTGCCCACCCGTCAAAAATAATTGTTGTCGTTTGCCCTTTTTATATCTTTATATCTTTAAAACTGGACGTGGGAAAAAAAAAAAAATAATTGGTGGGCAACCGATAGGCGAAGAATTCCAGCTTTCAAATTTAAAAATTTGATTTTACCGAACCCTGGAAAGTACCCGAACCCGAGCGTAATTATCATCCTGGGGATTTCTGCAGACTCGGTTGATTTTTTAGGTTTTTTGCTAGCTTATCGATTTCTGAAAAATATGTAACAGGTAAAAGGAAGAGTATAATCCTATTCAGATTACAGAGACATAGACGCAATCCAAGCTTCCTTATGTTGCTACGCCCACTATAACACCCAAAAACCGGCCAAAAATGACGCCCACATTTTTGAAAAATGTTCTGATATTTTTTCATGTTTTTATTCGTCTGGTAAATTCCTATCGATACTGATAACAAATACCTTTTATTTTAGAATACACTAAATTTAAACTCTTTTCAAGACGTCAAACAGAAAGATGACCCAAAAAACGAGGGCACTTTTCTGTTGAATTTTTCAAACTCAGTCTTGCATATAATAAGTAAGCAAATAAAGGTCAAAGCAAAAGGAAAGAACAGAAAGAAAAGCATTTGGAACAATGTGAGAGAACAAAATGTAAGATAAGGTTTTTATATCAATTCCCTTGAGCGGCACTACATTAAGAATACACAAGTATGTACATATAACACCACATTAACTATATTTGCCTTACCAATATTCCTTTAACGATCCATAACTCCCAAATCATTTAAAGAAATGTAACGTATGTATAAGCCTTTGGATCGCATATGCCACGACCACAAACGGAAAAATGCAAATTAATTTATGAAAATCGTTTTATATAAAATTTATTTAGACAAGGTGGCAACGGGAATGCCATTTTCGAAAACGCACAGTAAAGAATATCAGCTAAATTAAATTTATTAAACGAGAAGTTCAATCGTTTCATTAAGCAATGTTTAATTATTATTGACTTCTCAGATAACTAATTAATCATTATTTTTATTACAGGTGCCCATTGTTGGCAATACCATGCTGGCCCACAAATGCACTGACCGCCCATATGGCGGTCCGCTGGTGTATCGGATTCTGGAGAATTTGGGCTTCGTGCTGACTACCACTGTTATAATAATCATTTCCATATGGGGTAAGTCGCGACACAAGGTTCACCTTAGTTCGTTGTACCTCTGAAAATAGTGCGGAACATGGAAAAAGCTAGTGAAACTGTTTTTATCGCTGATTTTTGCAAGCTCTGAACATTTTTAAACCATCCCATGTTTTCAAGCCTGTCAGGCTTAAAGCTCGACAAAGCCATTTGTTAAAAATTCCAATTTTGTTTTTGTAATCAGAAAATTTGATTTGGATTTATTTGGGAATATGTTGTCTGTTGTACTTGCACTTTTTAATGTACTTTAATTACACAAACCTTGTAATGTTTTTATTACGTCTATTGCAGTATACGTGTATTGTTTTCAAACTCAGGGCGTCACGCAAGTTAACTTCGATGGTAAGTACTATTCTACCGTTTACTCGTAAAGTAAAGGGGTATACTATATTAATTGAATATTATTTATTATTTCCAACACTGTGAAGTATTTAATTGCCCTAGGAGCGGTTAAGATCGGAAATATCTAAAAATATAATGCTCTTGCTTATGTTAGTAAGCCACAATGATTAGCCTGCAGTTCCGCAATTCATTGATCTCAATAACAACAGCGCGCTATCACTCTCCTAAAAATGTAATCAGATGAGCACGTGATGAATATTTGATTAATCGAATTGAGATATTCGTTTTTATATTTCTTTGTAAACAAGGAGTTGGGAATTTTGAATATATAAAAACAACTATTGTGTAAAAAAAGGAGTTAGGAATTTGAAACTTTTATAAACAACTATGGACAAAAAACAATTCCTCCAGGAGATTTTCGAATATGTCAGGACAGTGAGCCAAAAGGTTAAAGGCATTGTTAAAACCTGGGTTTATTAGAATCGTCCGCACTTTATGCAGCTGCATAGAAATTTCATGTTATTGAAAGCAAAAAAAACATCCAAAGAAATGTTCTAGTGGTCGAAATTATCTAGTCGATTCTATGCCCAAAAGGCTTAAAGTTTAAAGTGGTTGTTGAAAATACGGGGGCGGAAAATGAAAAAAACATTTTTTATGTGTGGGCGTGCCAGTTTTTGGTGGTTTGTGGGCAATTGATTGATCGTGAGCTAGCGTAAGAATATAACTGTACAGGACTAATAAAAAATATCAAAACAAATTTTAAATGTGTGAGCGTTGTAGTTTTTCGCGGTTTGTGGCCGTTAGAGTGGGCGTGACATCAGTTAACAAAGTGCGCTGCGTCTATGTCTCTGGAATCATTCAGTGCATAAACTCACATTTGGATTAGTATTAAAGAATTTAAATAATATTAAAGAATTGTGTAGTATAGCTATTAATAATAATTAAGTTAATTTATGTCATTAATAATATTCATAGCAATTTCAATTTGGTGTTTTGTTTTTGAATATTAATTCTGCCCAGAACAATATAAGTAAACTTCAATTCCTCTAATTACAGCATTCAAGAAAAAAAAGTCGATGACAGAGCAGACTGCTTCTCCCAGATTGTTGCATCAAGACGATACAGTTGGCGGTGAGTTTAACTAGGCCAGTTGTAGCACAGTACTTTTTACTTTTTTTCATTTCGTTTTATATTGCTAGATTCCTTTAACGTGCGGAACTTTTCTTCGGGTCGACGAAGTCAACAATCGGATTCTTTGTCGGAGGCGTATATATATGGACACCCTCAACTAAACTCTCCGAACAGATCAGGTAGCTCAACTCGATTTAGTTAGTTGAATACCTGAATAACAGACTGTCAGCAATCCGACTCGGGGTTTTTTGTGAAATATTATAAGATAAACTCAAGCTTTTTTAATATTTGTATGTGGCTTATGTATCTTAAGTTCCTTTCATCTAGACGTCAGGAAATAAGTTTATAGGATAAGTCATTATTTGTTATGGTTTAGAAGGAAATAAAAATATAGAGTGAGATTGCAACAACAGGAAGTTACCAAATATTATCATACAGATAAGTTAATGTTTTTTCTGTTTCCGCAAAAACATAGTTTTAAATAAACATCAATTAAAAAGAAAAATATAAGAAAATGCGTTCAAAAGGTGAATATAATTGTTGATGACAGTCTACGTAATGGCAATGAGGTACGGGAAGTGGTGCGCAAGGAGACTAGTGCCGTAAAACTGAAAATTTATATATGGATAAAAAAGTATTTCAAGACTGTAAACTGTATGTTATATTTGTAACATAGGCATACTAGTGCTAATTCTGAAAAAGGACTTGGATCGAGCGAAAGGGAATCCGATGCTCAGGCACCATTTATTTGGTCTTCCTTTTAGAGTCATGCCGCTTTCATTTTATTGTACAGCTCAACCTGAAAAAGTTTTGATTAGTGATTTTTTGGAAAACTTGCCACCTAGAATCCAGTCCCCTCAGTCCCTTAAAACTTAACGTGATATTAATAAATTATTGGAAAGGATGCAAATCATAGTTTATGATATTTTGAATAAAATAAACTCAAATAAAAACTCAAAAATAGAAAAATTTTGTTATTAAAACAAGATAGAATGCAACAGTCGAGTGCCCCGACTATCAGATAACCGTTACTCAGCTAGTGGAAGTGCAAAAGAGAAATTTCAGAATATTCTGGAATATCGGTAAAAATTAGAACAAAAATAATAAAATGAAAAGAGAGTTTTGGGCGGCTTGTGGGCGTTAGAGTGGGCGTAGCAAAATGTTGTTTGGAAAATCTGTGGAAACTTACAATATACATATACATATGTATAAAAAAATGAAAAAATATCAACATTTTTCAAAAGTGGCCGTGACAGTTTTGTTCGGATTGTGGGTGTTATAGTGGGTTGGCAACATTTGGAAACAAACTTGCGCTGCATCTATGTCTCTGGAAGCTGCATGCATCTCAATATTCTAGCTTTTGTAGTTACTGAGATCGAGGCGTTCATACGGATCGACTCGGCTATTGATCCTGATCAAGAATATATATACTTTATATTGTCGGAAACGTTTTCTTCTGCCTGTTATATACTTTTCAACGAATCTAGTATACCGTTATACTCTACGAGTAACGGGTATAAAAACAGCGAAGCTGGAATAGGACTAATATTATATACATAAAATATGTATACATTGCAAGGTTTATAAGGTTCTACTTTTTACATTTTAAGAATCTCAATGTTAAATAAAATTATTTCAGGAATAAAAAATCCAAAATTCATTTTGAAAACAACAAATTGAAAATAATAGTTTTTTCTAAATGTGTAATTTCTGCAAGGCTATATAAGCTGGCTCCCATTTTCGTTTTTACGATAGATTCAACGTAGGTATCTATTTAAATAAGTTACATTTTTGAGTTTTATCTATGTTACTAAATATTTGGGTATCGCAACTATTATCAGCGCAATTTTATTTTGAAATTTATGTCATTTTATATTTTTTATTAAAGAAGGCAAAGAAAAGGTGAATCTCAGGAAAAGATAAAAAAGTATTTTATGGCAGTACTTTTATTCAAAAGCAGAGTAAAATGTAAGAGTAAGGTAGGCAAAATTAAATCACTCAACTTTGGGGAACGATGCCAGCTAAATTATTATTAATTATAATCATTTGACGCATTCTGTCAACTTTCGCAATTTTCATGAAAAAAAGCGTGAGCACTCTTATTTTATTTTACTACTTACGGTTCAAACAGCCTTACCATATTCAATGACGATATTTGTCAGCAGATTAATACATTTTTAATTTTATGATTTCAACTGTTGGAACTCGAATGTGGAGCTACTTTTTTCAAAGGGGAATTTGGTACGTTTCGGGTCAGATTAAATAAATTAATTCTAAAAGTGAAATTAAATTCTTTTCTAAAGTGTATTTGGTGCGTTTCGGTTCAGATCGAATAAATTAATTCTAAAAGTCAAATAAAATACTTTCTTTGGGGTAATTTCACTGAATGCTTAACAATAAATGCTATTATACACAAGCAATCTATAAGCAATAAATACAAAGTAAAAAAACATGGTTTGATAAAACGGCTAAATGGCTTCGATTCTTTTGTGGATCAGAAGTTAATTGCATTAATAACGACTACTCAGTTTTAGGTTCTATTTGAATAGTTGCATGCTTGACGTTATATTTTGGGCCAGAGACGAGCTTCGTGGCCGTCTGCAGTACTACATTGCCGTCAGCTCGAGAGTCTGAAACGTATTAGAAACTAATGAAACTGTACCTGTACACATTTTAGGGACTCACCTGTAACGAGATGCACCATCAGAACCCTTTGCTGGGTGGTTTGTTGCCACACGTTTAGGTGGTGCACAGATCTGGAAAGCGAAACACATTTTTAATATAAGGTGACCTTTGGAGGACTTGGGTTGTCAACTGACCTGACACCTTCGAGGCTGCCCAGCTCCAAATACAGGGTGCGCATATTAAGGTTTTGTGGAACTGCATTCACGATGATGCCCATAGACTCCCGAAACAGACGCAGGGTAGTCATTAATACAATAATTGAAAAAATGAGAGTACACAGTGGATCAGCATATTTGGCACCTGGCTGAAATATTCGTAATATTACAATACATAACAGTAGCAGATACAAATTTTATTTAAAATAATGTATAAGCACATCAAAGCCACTGTTTCTGAGCTCACAACTTTTAAGTTTATTAAATACTCGAGGAAAATGGAAATGGCAAGCAGAAATACGAGAGTTTACGAGATGCAAAGGTGACTATTACATATGTATATAGCGAGTAGCTCCACTACTCATCACAATTTAAAACAAGAGAGCACGCTTAGTCGAGTTCCTCGACTATCAGATACCCGTTACTTATAAACAGAATATTATTTTTATACCCCTTACTCGTAGAACAATAATGTAAAATGAAGAAGAAGCGTGTCCGACCCTATAATATACATATTTAATATTGATGAGGGTCAACATTCGAATTGATTTGGCCATGTCCGTCTATCTGTCCGTATGAACGGCCGGATCTCAGAAAGTTACGATTAAGCAAAAAATGTTGAACTTTCTCGTTCGTGCTCCCACTATCTGAGTACACGTATCTCGACAATCTCGACTATATCGTTCTTTCTGTTTTTTTGTTTTAAATTGAAAATTCAATGAACACCTCGGAACTATGAAAATGAGAATAGAATAAGAAGCCTCACAACATTGCCATCCCTACCAGAACTCCTAAAACGCTTAAGAATATAAAGAGATTTTATGTTCAAATTAAAATTCATCTTAAAAAAATGAACTAAAAGTTTATTAAAAAGATCCGTCGACTGCATTCAATTCAATTAGTTTGCTACAACACTCGCTTTAGTGTTTGTATTTCGTGTTAGTGTTTGTTATATCTCGCAATTCCTTTAGCTGAGTTCAGAATTATGATTATTAGTTAAAAATCGCGGTAGTCGGGTCTAGCGCTCTCTTGTTTTCTTCAAAGTCTGGTATGTAATCCTTTTAGTATTTGAAATATCTTTCTTTGGTCTATCACTCCAAAAATCACACCACCAAAGCATATTTAAAATGTTCTTCTCACTAAATAAGTGACACGCATAAAGATGTACAGAACAAACTTACATAAACTTTAATTAGGACGGCGGCCAAAAAAACGCCAATGCTCTGCACTAGGTCTCCAATCACATGAATCATTGCGGCACGCAGGTTTAGGTTTTTCTCCTCGTGCGCCAGCTGCATGTTTGAAGTCCTGCAGAGAGAAAAAGCAGTGAGAGGCAAATATAAATTATCAGCTGTCATTCAATTTAATGTCATTTCAGCTTAAATGATCTTACGTTAATTACTGTTAATAATAAAAAGATACGACAACCGCACATGCAAGTGTCGAATTACCCGACTATCAAATAGTTATTTATTTAGTCTACAAATGCGTTTGAAGGCAGTAGACAGCCGGAAAATCTTTTGAATACCCATCCACGTCACTATCCGCAAATTTTGTATAAGCAACTATGAGCAATAATAAAACTAACAAAAATGTTAATCAACGAGTAACCCGTATATACATACGTGTAAGTATGTACACAGACTAGGGCTTGCGGTGTTGCTTTTGCCTAATACTAGTGGAACGAGAGTTGTATAGCGTTCACCGCAGGAATTAAAAATTCTATTCAGTCAATACTTATTTCTTTATTACTCTGTATATATTTTTACTTACCCAGCCTGATGTGCTTTTTCCCCATTTGTACTAAAAATCGTATGCTCGTTTGAATTTATTTCTTTACTTATTGAATGTTCCTCTTCCGCTGTTAAAGAGCTTTGACTTCCGCTCGCCGTAAGCATGTAGGAGTTGGAACGTGTTTGTGATGGACAATTATTTGGCTCATGTCCGTTTCCGTGACTATGGCTGTGACTGTGGCCATGTCCATTCCCGCTGACGAACCAGGATCCATGCAAAACAAACATCATTCTGTGTAAAAAAAAATAATAATTTGTAAATCTAATTAACAGAAAAAACAAGATAGAATTCTATAGTCGAGTTCCCCGGCCACCAGATACTCGGTGCTTAAATAAAAATTAAAAATTTTTCAAAGGTGTGAGCGAACAGGTTTGGACGGTTTGTAGGCGTTAAAATGGACTTGGCAAAAAGTTTTTAGGCAAATCGAAAGAACTCTACAAGACTAATAAAAAAGGAAATAAGAGAGAATGCTATAGTCGAGATACCACTTACTACCAGATACCAGATAATAAAATGAAAAAAAAATTAAAATTTCTTTAAACGTGTGGCCGTGACAGTTTTGGGTGGTTTGTGGGCGTTGGAGTGGGCGTGGAAAAAAGTTTTGAGCAGATTTATAGAAATTTCCAAGTTATACAAAAAATTAAAAAAGTTTACAACATTTTTCAAAAGTGTGGGCGTGGCAATTTTATGCGATATGTGGGCGTTAGAGTGGGCGGATCAAAATTTGGAAGCAAACTTGAGCTGCGTCTATGTCTCTGAAAGCTGCATGCTTAATTTCAAAATTTTAGTTCATACGGACAGACCGACATGGCCAGATCGACTCGGCTATTGATCCCGATCAAGAATATATGTATATACATCATATGGTCGGAAATGCTTCCTTCTGCCTGTTACATACTTTTTAACGAATCTAAGATACCCTTTTACTCTACGGGTAACGGGTATAGCAAGAGAGAATGCTATAGTCGAGTTCCCCGACTATAAGCTGTGGAAGTGCGAACGATAAATTTCAATATTTCCTGAAATATCGGTGGGAATTGGGAAAAAAAAACAAGATACAAAATTCTATAATCGAGTTCTCCGACTATGAGATACCTGTTACTAACGAGAAATTACAAAATTTCCTGGAATATCGATAGAAATTAGGAGAACAAGTGAGTGAGAGTTTTGTTTGATTTGTTGGCGTTAGAGTGGGCGTGGCAAAAAGAATTTTGGCAAATCTATAGAAATTTACAAGATACATAAAAAATATCACATTTTTTAAAAGTGCAGCTTCCTGAGACATAGACGCAGCCCAGGTTTGTCTCCAAATGTAGCCACGCCTACTCTAACGCCCACAAACAGCACAAAACTGTTACGTCCACACTTTTGAAAAATGTTTTTATATTTTTTCAGTTTTGAAAATATCTTATAAATTTGTACAGATTTACCAAAATACTTTTATGCCCGCAAACCGCCCAAATCTTTCACGCTCAGAATTTTGAAAAATGTTTTGATATTTTTTCATTTTTGAATATACATGTCTTGTAAATTTCAATAGGTTTGCCAAAAAATTTTTTGCCACGCCCACTTTAACGCCAACAAATCGAACCAAACTCTCACGCCCAAATTTTAAAAAATGTTTTTTTTTCATTTTTTTTTTTAATATTATCATTTATTGTTTTTCCTAATTTCTATCGATAAGCCGGAAAAATGTTGAAATTTCTCATTCCCACTTCCAATTGCTGAGTAACGGGTATCTGGTAGTAGATGAACTTTAAGCGTTTTTAAATTAAGGGCATAGTCATTGATATTCCTAAAGATAATCCTAAATACCTAAAAGGTATTTGGTGAAATAAGATACATATATATAATAATATACGGACGTTATTGAGATGTCTTTATAGGAGTTTATAATTTATGGACCTTTTCAGAAACCTACACGCCCGGCCTTAACTTATATGAAAATCAGAGTCATTTTGTCTTTCGCTAGCATTATGGAAAGGGATAGTACATACAATTTTCATACAAATATTAATATTTATGTGAGATTCTTGTCTACACTTACACGATATTTATGGCAATGCCAATGCCTGAAATGAGCATCATCATATCGGCATTTAGTTCAAAGTCCTGGGAGTAGATCCTCTGAATAGCCACAACCACAAGCAGGAAAGTTACGAACCAGATTCCCAAGATAGATGCCACAGCTCCGATAACCTCTGAAAACATATACAGGAGAAAAAAAGAACAATCTGAATAATGCTCTCAAATTCTTGCCCAAATCAAATGACGATCTGATGATAATCTGATGGCATTGTCTGTTGACATACAGATATTTCAAAACAGCGGTCAAAGCGCACATTAACGCATGGATTTATATGGGCCACATGCACATGGTACTCTCATTAGAATGGTGTGAAGGCAATTGACTACTTACCAAAGCGTTTGTACCCAAAGGACATACGCTCGTCGGGCGGGCGACTCCCTATCCATATGGCGACTAGACCGATGACGAAACTAATGCAATCAGATGCCAAATGGGCGGCATCCGTCATTATGGCCAGACTTCCGGCTATATAGCCGCCAAGAAATTCAATGATCTGCGGTCGCCGTCAAATTTGTAGGTCGAGTTGCAGGGCATGAAATGTGTCATAATTAAATCAGTAATTCGTGCCCACACCTACACATTTGAGGAGTAGGGTGCTCCTTCTTACCATAAATACACAACACAGGGAAACTGCGAGCATAATTTTATATTTGGCCTCCTGTGCAGATTTGCTTTTTGGGTTGGCCCCGAACCCTGGTTGATGATTGCAGCACTCATGCTGCATATCAATCTCCGTTTCCGAGTTCTGCAATGGGCCGCACAATTTGCTTATAATAATTTATGTATATTTGAAAGTCGTTTAGTTGTTCCATTTACCTGGTTCCTCGCACCGTCGCCACAGTCGCCCAACAGTGGCACCTCCCAGGTTTGCTCCTGTGGAACTCGGACGACATTTGACCCAATTATCACCACCTCCCTATCCACGTTGTTGTATACTTTGTAATATCTGTCTTCGTAATCTGGCAGCCGATCATTTCTAATACCTGGATCCTGTTGCAGGTCCGTATTTTGATGATTATCATCAAAATAAGCCGGGAAACCCCCTTCAGAGTCGTCATCGTGAGAGTTGGGTAAGAATGCATTGTCAAGCTTTTGATATTTTGACATGGTATTTGGTGTCAATTGGTAAACTATACTATTATTATTTCAGTTGATCCTCGTGCGTGAGCTGCATTGAGTAAACACATAACAAAACACCACAAATTTTCAGAATTCCTGCAATGTCGTAGAATTTTTTAAAAACTTAGCATAGCCAATAAAGTAGGACAGTCCTGAGCAATAAATATAATGCCGCTTACACTGGCGCTGGTATACAATCTCTACTTGCATCTCGCTTTCATTATTATCTATGTATCGGAGTAAAATGAAACCCGACTATAGTCGAGTTCCTCGACTATCAGATACCCGTTAATCAGCTAATGGAAATTTAATTTATCTGGTATAAATAACAATAAAAAAATTTGTTTAACATTTTCCGAAAGTCTGAGCGTGGCAATTTTGGGCGGTTTGTGTGCATTACAGTGGGCGTTGCAACATTTGGACAAACAAACTTGCGTCGCATCCCTGGAGTTTACATGGTTTTAAAGTTCCTGAGACCGAGGCGTTCATATGGACGTTCAGACGGACATGGCCATATCGACTCGGTTAGAGATCCTGATCAAGAATATATAATATTTGTCGGAAACGCTTCCTCCTGCCTTTTACATACTTTTCAACGAATCTAGTACAGCCTTTTTCCCTACCAAAAAGGGGCATAATAAATGTTAAAGCAAATAAGATTCCATGAAGAACCTACAGTGAAGCACACAATTTTTAAGTGTAAAAGTAAAAAAGACGAAATTCCATAATGTAATAAAAAAGTGAACAAAATGTTATAAAGATTTCGGAACGGAAACTCGAAGTAGATTTTTAAATAAAATTCACAAACACTGATCATTGTAAGTCAAGTGGAAATTTGGAAGCCCGACGAAATCGAAAACCTTTTAGTAACTAAGAACAAGCTGGCCAAAACTGCCGAAGACTAATAATTTACAAACAAATTACAAGACCCCCAAATTTTAATATTTTATTTTATTTTTATATAATTTCTTTAATGGTAATAAAAACACGAATTATTAACATATTAAAATTGATATGTTAATAAAAAATAGGATAATTTGTGATGGATTGTCATGGATACGTTGATGAGTATACTGATGTACTGGTACTAAGCAGCTGAATAATAGGCAATGGAATTGCTTTCATGTTTTGCTGATGTGTTAGTGCTGAAAGGAAGATGGAAAATGGTTGGAGAGTTTGGAGAAAGTGGAAAGTACTTATAACTAAAATTATGAAAATTACTCAGAATTTTTTTAAATTATAAATTGTGAGAACGTGATGAATGAGTCTATTCTTTGTATGCTCGTAGAGTAACTCTTGTGATGCCTAAGTTGTGCAATTTTTTTCAACACTTTTGAAATGGTTTTAATATTTAAAAAAATTTTTTATTGGTCTTGCCAATTTCTATTGGTGTGACACAAATATTTTTTGCCACTCCCACTCTAAAGCCCACAAGCCGCCCAAAGCTGCCACGCCCAAATTTTTGAGCACTGTTTTGTTTTTATTTTCAGTTTATTAATTGTCTTTCCAATTTGTATCTACATGCTAAAATGTTTTTAACGCCCACTCTAACTTCCCAAGTGCAATGCTTAACTTCCAAAATGCAACGCTTAAATTTTTGAAAAATGGGTTGAAATTTTTTATTTTATTATTTGTTTTGCCAATTTTTATCGGTATTTTTTTGCCACGCAAACTCTTAAGCCCACAAAGACCACACTTTTTGCTTTGATTTTCATGTCAGGACCTACAGACTTTAAGATACCCTTTACTTGGCTAGTGCGAGATCATTTGTTTTGACAGTGTCTAACAATATGTCAAAAATGTAACGCCTACAAACCGCAAAACAAACAATCTAAAATTTCTAGTAATCCAGACATTTTCCGACTGTTCTTATTGCAGCTACATATATGATAAGTTTTCAGACGTTTATCAAATTAAAACGGTGTCAGAATACAGGAACAGAACGAATTAGTAGGCTTTATGACCAGAAACAATTATTTTTAGTTATTTCTCAAATGACTGCTATATGGCACAGTGTCAGGTCCGTTTCATGCAGATTGCTTAACAACTGATACTGATCAAGAATGTATATGTATACTTTATATGATCGTAAATGTCTCCTTTATTACAGAATGGTGATTCAAGTCAATTGATTTTCCTACAACTGCCGCCCATTATGTTAAAACTTATTTATCAATTTAGATTTTAATCTTTATAAGACTTGAGATTGCTTAATTGTTTGCTTTCCATTTATACCAGTTTCCGAGTTAAGTGTTTTGGCCACCCTTTTTGGCAGATTTGTATATCAGTTTTTCGAGAAGTAAAGGTGTATATTAGAAGAATATGACAGGTACATATGTACGTATGTATAAACACATATTTATACAAAAATACATGTCGCTATCTATTTCCGAAGACATAAATGTACATATTTAAATTGATTTGCTGAGTAAAGGCTAAGCAGATTTCTCTCTCGGTTCTAAATAAGTAGCTATGTAATGTAGCATTTAGCATTTAAAAATGTAGCATTTTTATTTAGAATTAGACTCACTAACCAGAGAGTTTAACATTTGCAACAAGCCTTTACAATTAAACTGCAAATTTAAAAGTAAAGTAAAGAAAACAAATGCCGGCGGAGAACGTGCACTGACCTTATCAGCAGGTTTGACTTTGGCAATGCGTAATGTTTTCGACAGCGGCTCTCTTTCTCACATATCTTTCTACTCAGCTGCTGATGTTGCACATAGCTATATACATACATTTGTATGGATGTACGTTCCGAGATATCAAAGCGAAGCGCCCGTTCGTTGTAGTTGTAGGGTTACTCTCCCTCATATATTACACTGAAAAACTGGCGCTGGGCTCAGTTGAGTTTAACTGCGTTAAATAGTGCTATTTCAAGCAATTTTATTTGAAACTTTTCAAAACATTGACATTTTAAGTTTTTGAGTCGAATCGCATTTTGTAAATCTTCTAGTTCCCAGCCATATGCGCTTTTCACGGACCTTGAAAACAGAAGATATACACGTACAAAATTCTCAGTTGCGGGACTACACTGTTCCGCTGCCGTGCACTATCAGCTAGCGTTTGGTGGGGGAATTTACATTGCCCGTTTCTGCTCTCTACACGGCCCTACTCGCTGTAATTATTTTAGATTTCTGATCGTCAGCGATTGTTCACTTCCCGGCACTCCCGGCGACGCGTGAAGTTCAACTAACAGCGGTGGCGGCGTCGCCTTCTCAGTTGGCTTGTGGGCAGAGCGAGCGGGAGCACTCGAGTGGGGGCATTTCTCTCTTGAGTGGCGACGCTTGAGTGGCTCTTAAAGGATCCTCATAGTGGCTTTTGTTCGTTAATCAGAATAAGAGAGAAGAGTCGAGTTGCTCGACTATTAGAAGTAGCAGATACCTGTAACTCGGCTAAGAGGTAAGATAAAGACATGTACATCCGTTATTAGGAAAGGGACTGCTTTCTTGACTAAAGCGGTTACATTTCATACATACAACTTCTAAGCTTCACGTTGCAGTCCGCGTGGGGGGTTTTGTGCGTTACAGTGGGTCTTTGATACAATCTATATTTTGATACAATCTATACAATTTACAGTCTTCATGTTTAATATCAACTTGTACACGGCCACTTCGATTGATTTAGAATAAGAATATGTTCGAAATTGTTATACAAATGAATTTTCCTATGAATTTCTGACGTATTCCCTAGGAACTCCTGAGAAACTTTTTTTTTTTAATATTCCCAAGCTTCTATCAACACTTTCTATAAAGTTACAGTTTACGCAGCGGCAAGGGCGCGGAAAACGACCTGAAGGCACCCGAACTTTAGGAATTTTATATCAAATCATTTAAATTGTTTTTCTAAATTAATTAACCTTTAAAAGATGTGTACATTAGTGTAAATGTACAATCAAGTCAACGTTATCTACACTTTTGTACATACGTGATCATAGCCGTAACTCAAAGAGTAAAAGTTAATCTTCAAAAAAAGTTTCAAGATAACGTTTCTGGCGCTGTAAAATATGTACATCTGTATGTACATTCTTTATGACGAGCTTCGATATTGGACAGCTATAAAATCGACACACTTGTGCCTGATTTCTTATCGTTCGGTATCAAGTTCATCCACAGTGACGCAGTATTAGCAAACACTCTTGAAATGTGTAGTACAATAAACGACTTTTAAAAATAAGAAGGTACATTGTAGTCAGATATAAATGGTACCAAGGGATATTCGTATTCATATATATGGGTAATTCCGTGAAAAGGACAACCGAAGTTAAAAAATACAATGCTTATTAATGTACACTCAGAGAATAAGCCGTTCTCAACGATTTTGATTTTTGTATTTTCGATCTCAAAATCTAGCCAAGTCCAAATTATGCTCAGCAATCGAGATCACCATTCTTAGGTTGCAAATGATTATCGATGCTAGGAATATGTCTTCTCGCTTCGAGACGAACCGATCTCGGTATCAAAAAGAACCGATCTCTGATATCAATCCCAATTACTAATGCAAAATAGAAATGATTATTTGTGATTTTTTATATAAACTCTAAAAACACTAAGACCTTGACGCTGTTTCCTCCGGTAAGATTTTCTGGACTTAAGAAAACTGGCTCTTCACGAAACTGTAAATATTTATGTGCATAAAAAGTGTAAGCTGATGTGTACATACATATGTATGTACTCCATTTGCAAATTTAAGTACATGTTAGGTGGGTCAGGACTTTTTCTAGCTCGAACTTAATAGGACGAGACTACAGTTGCTCGTCGCGTTCTTCGCACTGCAATTTACTTAACTTTTTGCACAAAAGATCAAGAAAATCTAAAGCTTCCCCATAACATCGAAATAGGATTTTAGTCCCATTTTTCTCTCTCTCTCTCTCCCTCTCTCTACTTTTTGTTTTTTTAGTCTTTCCCTCATGTCCCAATTCTGAAATTATTGAAGATATTATCAAGAGTTTTTCTCATGCGAACGATTAAGGCCACTGAGTGCGCTAAGCACATCCGATATGTTTTTCACATTTATATGATAGCTAACAGATATATACATATATTATATGATATATACACAAATTTTAGGTTTACTCATAGTACATTATAAAATAAACGTCAAAGAAAAAAATAAAAAAATATCAAAACAATTTTTAAAAGTGTGGGCGTGGCAGTTTTTCACGGTTTGTGGGTGGGTTAGAGTGGGCGTTGCAACATCATTTACCAAACTTTGTTTTAGAAAAGTGCACCTTAACTTTAGAAGAAATCACCTTCAAATGCAAGGGTTTGCCACATCCATTGCAGAAAACTTTTCTTTCCCCGACACCCTCTTCGTAACGATGATCGTGTGCTCCACAATTCCAACAAATAAGTGTTACTGCAGAAATGTCCTGTTCAATTTCTACTTCTTGTTCAGATTCTTCTTCAGTAGAAGTACGAGGGATGACTAACTCGCGAACTTGCAATCGATTCCCATGCCGAATACTTGGTCTTATGATATTTGTTCCTAGAGACTGCAAGAATATGTGACGAACTATGTGACGCAAATGGGAAATACTAAATATCGGAACGTGTAATATTTCATGTGGAATTCCAGTTAACAAATGGGCTCTCAAGACTTCTAACAACGCTGGTTCTGTCATTGGAGTCGAAAGTTTACTCGCAATAAAAAGTATTTCGTCATAAAACTTATCAAACGTTTCCAATGGTTTTTGTTTCCTTTGAGACACCGCCGTACGGATTTCTAAGTCACTTCGACCATCCTAAAAATGAGCTTAAAGAGCTGCACTTAACTGCTCCCAAGTAACTAGCGAGACGCTTTTATGAATCCGCCAAAACCACTCCGAAGCACTGCCTTCAAACAGGATATTTGCGTACCGCGCTAGCACTTGTAGATTGCCATCCAATGATTGGATTGCAAGAGCTTCCACTCTGTATACACAATCGTCTACAGACAAGGGGCTTACCTGAAAATCGTATCTTCCAATTAGATATGATTTGACTTATTCGATCATACCCAAGCTCTGTCGAATGCTGGGAGATCCAGGAAAAAGGGTATTCGCTCTAGTGCTTGCAGACTGCGTTTCTGGAGCTTGTGCAGCTAATGATGGGCGATGGATATCTTAAACAGCTGTTGAAATGTTTGGAGTCCTGTCGTTCGTTGTGATCAGGGAACATTCTGACTTGATAACCTCCGAATGCCTCCTTCTATTGCCACCGGCAACTGAGACATGGCTTGTGCCATTTGGCTAATTTGTGCCATAGTTTGTGTCAAAGGTATATTTAATTCAGCTATTCCATCCTGCATACGGCCAACATCCTCTGCGTCGCTATTGGAAATTGACGTATCTGCGCTGGGTGCTGTGTTTTCTTGTTCTGCTGACCTATTAGCACGAGCCTCATCCATGCCCTGCGATCGTAATCTCATGTCTGGGGCTTCTCTCTGCGCTGTAGCCAACTCCTCGGCCAATGAAGGTGCTGGATTTTGCAGTTATTCTCCGTAGACCGACAGACAGTTCTTGTTCCCTGGCGAGTATTAAAACAGACTAGGTGGAACTTGTTCTTGCACCTCGTCCGAAACGCTTGGGGTTGATACTCAATATTTCTGACACAAGTCCCACAAATGATATTACTATCTTGACATTTTCGACTTCCATGCTAAGTTGAGAAGTAGACACACTCTGAGACACTGTTACTGTTCCTTCCCACCGGGTATATCGATTGAGTGAATTAGCTTAACTCATCCTAATAGGATTACCTTGTTGGTTAACTGTAGATCTAGTCCACTAATAAGTCACCTTCTAACAAGAACATCTATTAGTTTGCATGACCAAATGACCGTTTGCATAACCCCTGTGATGATAAAACTTATTACTAGTTTATCATCAAGTACCTTATATAAGGGCCTTAATAAAGACTAATTTTATAGCGAAGGCAAGAGCCAGCTAGCGGTGTTAATTCTATGTTTGATTTTAATGTATCAAATGTATAATGTATGGCTAAAAGCCATAATTTATATTAAGATTTTAAAAATGGAACTATGTTTGATTTAATTTATTGCAAACATCAGGCTCCACTACGTTGGGCGCCATCCTTAATATTATTATCTGTAACATATAAAGTTGACGTTTTCGAAGAGAGCGGATGTTATTTAGCTAATGCATTTCCGGCTGTGAGATTAAGTTCTGCTAGCTAAGCTCTCCGGCGATGACAATAATTATTTAAAATAAATTCGCGTTCTAATAAAAGTGGAGAAAAGGGGGGAGTTCTAGGCTTCACTGCTTCGACCGAAAACAACCAGACAGCCCTCGAAAGTTTTATCTTGATTGGGCCACGGCATTCCAATACTTCTGGATTTAAACAATTTTAATTGATTATTCCATTTTCAAATTCCTTTATTTATTGTACAAATAAACATATTTAGCTTCTTTCAGCTTCATTGCGAACATATAAAAGTTTTAAAAGAGTCTATCAAGCTTATAATTTAAATAAAGTAACTTGAGAGTGGAGATATTTACTACTCATATAAAAATTCCAAGTTATAATACAAGAAATGTAGTTTCGAGAAAGGAGAGTCGAATATAATACAAGCATGTGCATAAACTCGTTATTTTAACCGTAGAATGAGAGAAATGTAAATATTACGAGATATTTCAAAAATAAAGCTTCCATTTCATTACGTTAAGCTTTACCCGTACTCTGATTCAAATTAGTTGAATGAGCTTTCGTTTTGCTCTACTCATTTCATATAATGGGTTTTCAATAACTCACTCGGCTGCAATTCCCACGTGGAAAGATCTTTCGCGGCGAGCTGCAAGCGTTGCATACGTTTTCTGCAAATAAAGCTGGATACAGATACCAAAAGAATAGAAGGTTTTGCCCTGCATCAGTGCAGTTCTCGAGTTTTGTTTTGATTTCCCTTTTCGCAATGGCCCTATACCATTTATCTAGATTATACTGAAGACTGATATTCTGCATATAATAATTTTAAAACACTACCGAACTTTATTATAATTAACGTAGAAAATAATACTACTAGTTTTTATTTTATAATTCATATTTTTCTCAGTTCTCGGGAGCATCGTGCACCGGAAAATTCAAATAAGACTAACGAAAATTATTGAAATTATTTCGGCATTTTTAGCTTATAATTTTGGGCCGTCTATTACTTTCGTCTTTTTAAATTTCCATTTTTTAAATACGTTTGTACTTGGAAAGTGACTATTTCTGCTTTGGGTATTTACACTG